CCCTGCCCCGCTGCTGCTGCCGGGGCTGAGGTCTCGTTTCGGAATGAAATGGATGTGGCCTCGGTTAGCGGCTAATTGCAGGCGGTAATTCATCACGCAGGATTTCAGTGACGTTTATCCAATTCACAGCTGAGGTCTTTCATCAAACACGGGGTTTGATGGAAATGGTTGTGTATTCCCATCTCCTCTCCCTTAGTGCTGGGCGTTTTGGTTCAAAGTGGGAATGACATACAAGGAAAAAATGTTGGAAGTGCAGCCTAAGTGTTGTGCCGCTCGGGAATATTCCTGCTTCTTCTGACAGTGGATCCTGGGCCAGAGCTGCCCCCCTGCTCCCTGTCACACCAGCAGGTCCTTTCCTGCCGGGAGAGCAGTGCCTGTCCCTATGGACTGTGTCTTGTTTGTCACTGTGCATTGAGCTGGGGAGTCCCCTCCGCTGCGCTGACAGCAGGCGACTGTATCTCGGATGCTAATCTCGGACTCGTTGCTGTTTTAGTCTCTTTATGGGGTAGAGGAGAGGCTGTTTGAGAGCAGGTCGGCGGTGATGGCTGGGTCGGCCGCTCGGTGACGTCCCGGCGGGAAGCGGGTGCTGCGTGTCCAGCCCAGCTCGCCGGGTTCTGTCCCCGGACACTCTTCCGTGTCCGTCAGGGCCGAGCAATGATTTAGCGACAGGGATGCAGCCGCCTGCCTTCCTGCACGCCTGGGCTGCGAGGGAAGGTGTCTCCTCCGTCGCGTGAGGCGTTTTGTGCTCGGCGATGAGGACAGAGCACCGCGCGGCAGGCGGAGCGCGCCGGGGACGGGGACGCTTCGCAGCGACAGCGATCCCGCTTCCACATCCCGGATCCAGCCCTCCTCCAAGGGAGAAGGAGCTGCCTTTCCAGTGGCCGCTGACCCAGGGCCAGGCTGTGTGTGACACAGAGGCAACTACAGCTCCCCGCAAGCCTAAATCTCTACGTCCCGCGTTTTGTGCAGGCAGCAAACCTGAATTTGGCCCTTTTCTGCAGCACAAGTGATGTTTAGCGATGGCAAAAAGTGAGAGAAAATGATGTGGGCGAAAGGAAAACAGATGTTTCAAAGGGTGCTGGTGGGATCTGAGGAGGTTAAGCCTATATTTGTACAGGGGGGAACGCTCTCACACCAAAAGCTGGCAGGAGGGCAAGGAAGCTGTAGGGCTAGATAAATATGAAAGGCAGAGTAAGGAAAAAAAGGTGGCCAGGAATAAAGGCAACCTGAGAAAAGAAGAGGCAGCTCTGAACACTGGAGATCTTGTGAGCCCGGGGCTGTGCCGTGCCAGGGAATGCCTGAGCTGACAGGGCAAAAATATATATTCCTTACAAAGTGAGTATGCAAGAAATGCTGGAGATGGGAAAAGTGGTGTTACTTTCTGCTGAGGGAAGAACAGAAAAGGGAGCATCTAAGATTTCCTGTCTGTTTTGGGGGGCCATGGAAAGCTGAAGAGGGTGGATCACTTGGAAATGTGAAGGTCTATCAGCAGATTGTATATGGAGCTCCCCAGCAATTGCCTCCAGAAATAGAAAAAACAGATGGAAAGAGACCCAGCAGGGAAGTCAAATCTCATTTATCTGCACAATGCCATCCGCCCGGCTCCAGCCAGCGCTCTGCATGTCAGCCAGCATAGAGCCTACCCCGTCCATTCTGCTCCAGGCTTCCCAAGCCCATCCATCACCCCATGGCTTCTTATTTCCAGGGAGCCTGGCACACGAAGCCGGGCTCATTGTCTGGCATCCCTGCCCCTCGTGCACATGGCATACATGTAGATGCACACGCACTGTGTCTGTTGCTGCAGCTGGAGTTGTCTACGGTTCAGGAAATCTTTACGCTGGAGCTTATCCAAGCCAAGGAGGTATCAGACCCAGGGTACAGGCTCGGGTCGAGCTTGGTTCAGCCCTGAGCATGGAAACAGCATCCTCTGTGGTCTGGAGTGATAAAGGATCTGGATATTCTCTCTGTCTGGGTTCAAGAGCTCTGGTCCTCTTTGCTTTGACAGGAAGAACATATGTGAAGGGATAAGGTAAGGGCTGCCAGATATCACGTGGTCATATATATGAATGAACGTAATGGATCTGATGTCCCTGCTTTGTCAAATACGGAACATGCTACCGGGACAGTGTCAGAGTCTGTTTCTCCACGATAGTGCCAGAATCATGTTCGTAAGGGGAAAATATGCCTGACTATATATACTTATTCAGTGCAGGCTGCCTTGCAGAACTGCAAGAAGAGACTAATAATATTTGTAACAGTGAGTCCCCAAGAAAGTTGCCCAAAATGCCTGCTTTCTGAAGTGACATGCGCATGGGGTCACATAGACAGGTGGTTGAGAGAAGGCTGGGACTTCAGCACGGCAGCATGGCATTCGCCCGGGGTTCCAAAGGTACCATAGGCACAGTTTTGGTAGGTCTAGGCACAGTTTTGGTAGGATAAACAGCACAGAGCTCCACTGATGGCAATGCAGTGCAAGTATTTATCTGCATTACCCGTTTGGGATTCCTAAAATTTGGGAGTCCTGCTGATATAATAACGCAGCACGTTAGCATTCCCTCTGGCCCAGGGAGGCAATCCATGTGCTTTTACTGCACTTCCATGCTGTGTCATGGGCATCTTGAACAAACACCCCCTGCCCTTTGAAGCAGACCTTCTGTTTAGTTGTCCTGCAGCATTTAGCTGTTTTCTAGCTCCTGCAAGAAGTCGGGATCAGCAGCTAATGTGTCTGTCAGGTTCATCATCAAAGGGCTCGTGCGTGTGCAAGTGACTGAGTCGTGAGGTTGGAGGCACGTCCCTCACATTTGCTTTGCACTTGTTCCCTCCCTTTGGCATTTTGCCTCCAGATGAAAAGGTAAGCTGCTGTCTCCAGCTCTTTTGAGTTGTTCTGTGTGTTGCTTTGATCCAGATGGTTTGCTCTGGGTCTTAAAAAGAAAATCCTAGGGAAAAAAAAAAAAAACAGATAGTGGATGCAGAGCTTTGGTTTTGCCTGGTTGTTATTTGTTCCGCTGGTTTTGAAGCAGGAACTCTGAGTGCTTTGCTAATGGATTTAGCTATCAGTCTGATTTTCCTTTGTTCTGAGCAGCTGCCAGTAAAACACTATTTTGCAGTGTTATGGCTTCAGCAACTGGGCTACCTAGTACCTCCCAAAGCAGCCCTCATCTCGCCATTTGTTGTCTTTTGTGGCCCGGGAAAGACCTGCTTTTCAGACAGAAGAAATTCCCCCCAAAATACAGCAGCAAAGGCAAGTGGATGAGAATACTGATCATCCACTGTGCAGCGGGACTCCAAGTGCTCTCTGGGCTTAAATTACCCTCCCGGTGATGGTGTCACCTGCAGGGTGAGCTGAAGCGACTTGCGCAAGGTCAAGGAGGGAAAGCAGGACAATGCAGGGAGAATCCAGCCTGTTTCCCTGCCCCTTGGTCCAAGACCGGCACCCCTGCCCTGCTGACAGCCGGAGATGTGTTTCTTTGCTCCGAGTTGGGATATAAGTGCAAAATTTCCAGTGCTTTCCTCCCTCCTTGAGGGGTTGATGTGCTCTGAGGCTGTGCGTGCACGCGCACGCCTGTCTGCCTTGAGCTGCTCAAGGCTGTTGTTGTTGCCAGTGCTGCGAGGCCACCATCTGCTTCCAGTTCTGTTCATCTTGACATCTTCATTGCAAGGAAACCAGCTGTGAGCTGGGGGCTGGTGCCAGGCAGGCCCAGGATGCCAACCTGGCAGCCAACAGCCCTGGCCCAACAGCTGGTGCTGGGGGGGTCTCTGGGCACCCCCAGCCCCTCAGATGGCAGGTTGAGAATGGGAGGGAGGGGGGCAGCCGGGAATCAAAGGAAACGTCCCTCTGATTGATGGCCCTCATTTGCACATGAAACTGGGACCCTGCAGGCCCTGCACGTGGCTCAGCTGCTATAGACAGGGCTGGGAAGGAGGACGTGCCAAGGAGGGAATAAGTCTAGTCCCTGGACACCTGAATTGCTTCCACCTAGGTGCCCTCCGTCTGAATCTTGGCACCTTTCCAGTTCCTATAAGTTGTTTCTTTTATTTTTATGTTTTGCTTGCAGGTGAAGGAGAGCACCCAGGAGTATGGCATCATTTTCCACCTCCTTCTCCCTTTTCCTGTGCATACTGGCTCTTTCTGACATCAGCCTTGCGTTCTCCCTGGACCCCGTCACGAAGCTCAAGAACATCCCGGAGAACAACAACCACCTTCAAAACCGGGAGCTGTGGCCACAGCAGCCCAGGAGCGGCCACCACCACAAGCACGGAGTGGCCAAGAAGGAGCGGGCCCACGGCGCGGCTTCCAGAGGGCAGCCAGCCGCCGAGGAGGCCCTCAGGGCCGGGAGCGGAGCGCCGGCCGTGGACGAGCCGGCGGCCATGGCGCAGCCTGCGGCCCTGAAACAGGATAAGGATAAGGATGTGTTCCTGGGCTTTGAGTATCCCGAAAGGGAGAACCAATCCCCAGGGTCTGAGAGGGGGAAGAAGCAGAACCGAGAGCACCGGCGGCACGGCCGCAGGGACAGGCTGAAGCACCACAGAGGTATTTGAGCTCCGAGGGAGGCCGGGGCTGTTGGGTGGCTGGAAACGAGCGTTGCTTGTGTGAGGGCAAGAAGATGCGGCTGTGGTTGGGCCCTATGGGCGTGTGGAGGGTGTGGAGCGTGTGCCTGCTCCGGGGAGAAATCTGCCGAACAAAAGAGGCACGAGAAAAAAGGGAACTTCAGAACCAGAGGTTTTCACTGCTCGCTGCAGTTTTGTGAAAACGACCTTGTTGTCCCCAGCTTGCCTTATGGGACAGCTCTGAAAGTTCCTGGGACTGAGGTTCTGTTTTGTGTTCTGGTGTGGCCCGCTTTATGGGTTTGTTCTATTTTGTGTGTGTGTGTGTTTTGTTTGTTTGTTTTTTCTTTTCTGCTTTTCAGCAAATGGTTCCTTTAGGAACAAGCATGTCCCAACCATGCTTAATCTGTCCACTGATTCCAGAACGTGATGGGAACTAGAAATAATAAAACAATTCTACTTAGCTTGAAGACCAGCTTCTTCTCATCAGAACCTGTATTCTTCTACAGCCAAATTAAGTTAGAAAAAATAGTTGGCTTTAAAACTGTAACTTTTGCAGGTGTGAAACCCTGTGTACCATGCTGTAGATGACCCTGCATGTGCAGGGGGGCTGGACTATATGATCTCCAAACATCCCTTCCAATCTTAGTGATTTTATGAAACTGCACTCGTTATCTTAAAATGGTGCCAGTTTTTGAGTGTTTTGGGTCACAGGAGGAGTTGTGGATGTGTGTCTCTGTGGTGTCACTACTGCCATTAAAGCCAGGCAATGTATGTCAGTCTCTGCCATTTGACAAGGCTGGTGTCAGTCCTTGGCTTCCAGTGGTCACTTCTCCCTACTTCATTACGAAAAGCTCTGTTGTTTTCCCAGGGCAGCAACTGAACAACTCGTGTTAAGTAATGTAGAAGAGCGTGCAACAGACACTGGTTTGAAGCCATAATTGCAGAGTGTTGTTTTTTTGGTTTAACTTCAGGTTCAACTTAGTAAAACCAGCAATCAGTCTGGAATCAATCTGTGAAGATCTCAGATTGAAATAACCCAATCTTAAAATGAAATAAGAGTGTGTGCGGATGAATTTGCAGCTTAAGACATTTGTTTAAAAATGGCTAAATAGGTACATTTTATATGCTTACGACCAGAGAACAAAGACTGTTCCCAAAATAAATGACTGTCTATGTCCGTAGCTTGAAGAAGTTTTCAAGATTCTCACTTTCCTTGAGAGGAAATCCATTGCTTCTTAAGCAGGATGTAGACGTGTTTTAACAAGTAGTTATTGTGTATGACTTGGATGTGTAAGAACTAAAATGCATCTACTCTGGTCTGGATCTGTTGCTTTCATCTAATAGCACGGGACTCTGCTTTGCACTGGTATAAATGGCAATTCAAAGTGATGGAAGGTTTTCCAGTGGCTAGATGATTTTTGGATTCCTCAATCCAAATCTTTTCATGGTACACAGAAAGGAAGGTGGGAAAGCTAATGCTGCTGTGTCTGTTGCCTTCTGCAGGGAAGACCGATATTGGGCCAAGTTCCCTGTACAAGAAGCCTGAAACTTTTCAAGAGCAATTTCAAAATCTGCAGGCAGAGGAGGCTACAAGTCTGACCCCCACCATGCTTCACCTCACCGCTCTGGAACTGGCGTTTTCCACCGAAGAGCCCCCTGTTCTTCCAGCCACATCACCCCGGTCACAGGTAAAGAGACAGTTGGTAACTGCTCTGTGCCTCTAATACAGGCAGAAATCTGCAAATAGTTTATTTCCTTTTTTTTTCCTAATTAGAAATAAGTTTGCCTAAAATCAAAACCCTCCCTTAGAACTAGCTCCCTACTTTGGAGACATGTAAACACCTCTCCTTCATAACTTACTCCTTTAGTTGTCTCTCTTCCCTTAGCTAGCCGTGCTCATTCAGCTCCAAGGGCAGACACAGTAGGAGCATTTGGCTGGAAAGGCAGCGTATCCTGATGTTCCTCACTGGCCTTTCTTCCTCACATGGAAGCAGTAGAAATTTCCCTTTAGGATTCTGACAGAACAAGGGAATGATGAATGTTTTAGACAAGCTCATCTTCGAACTAATTCCCTCCTGGAAATGAGATGACAAGAATTCCCAGTAGACAAGGCAAAGGAACCTGAGGTCTTATTAAGGTCTGAGAGCACCAGGAAAACTTGCAAAGATTGAGTAATCAATTGTCTGTTTGGTTCCCTGTGGTCTGCAGGCCCGTGTCAGGCAAGATGGGGATGTGATGCCCACCCTAGATATGGCACTCTTTGACTGGACAGACTATGAGGACCTCAAACCAGAAATGTGGCCATCGGCTAAAAAGAAAGGTGTGATACTTGCACTGTTGACTTCCCTGTCCTCTTTCCCAAAGGTCTTTTCCTAAGGTTTGCCCTATGGTTAGTGTTCACAGCCATGCTAAAAGATGGGGCATTATAGGGGAGGTGGTAGGGCAAGAGAGGACGAGCATAATGATGATTGTATTTGGTGTTCTCTTCAATCTTGTTTCTCATTTTGGTTGGACAGCTTGAGGGTAAGGGAAAAATGGTTAGATGAGGGGCTGAGAAGTAGACTCAGATTCCTGAAGCTTGAGGTTGTTTTTTACCCTGGAAAAATTCAGTTGCCAAAATAAAAACATTAGTGTGAAATTTGCTATCAGCATTTGTTCTTTCCATAGAGAAACGCCGCAGTAAGAACCCCAGCAGTGGGAATGAGACCATGTCAGCTGAAGGAGAGCCTTGTGACCATCACCTTGACTGCCTCCCAGGTCAGGAACAGTCTGACAGCCCCTTCTTCAAACATGAGATCGATATTTTAAACATTAAACATGAATCTGGGTTTTAGCATCAGTAATCTTTTTTTAATACTGATAGGAATTACTACACAGAGGGATGGGCAGAGGCTCTCTGGGGTGTGTTCAGGAACAGATTATGTTTGTAACGTTGAGCAGTTGTGGGTGTCAGTAGCTCTGCAAGGGGATAAATCAGCTTTGCTGACCCCTCATGTCTGTGCTGGCAGGATCTTGCTGCGACTTGCGTGAGCACCTCTGCAAACCACACAATCGAGGCCTTAACAACAAGTGTTATGATGACTGCATGTGCACTGAAGGTGAGTTCAGCTTCATGCCTCCTTGCTTAGGGCACGACACAGGTTTCTGTTGCTTAAAACTTTCTGAAGAACCCAGGGCAGCCCTTAATAGACAGTTACAATGTGAAGATGTCAAAAAGCATTTTTCTAATCTGAGTGTGTTCAGAATCAGCTCCACTCACAGGGACTTCTCTGCTAGAACAAAACTCTTGTTGCTAAATTTCGTGACGTGTGTAGGTACCTCATGACTTTGACCAGGTCCCTTCATGTAATTTTCTCCTAGTTAAACAGATTGATTTCCTGGAAATAACAGGCCTAAATGCAAAACTTGAAAGTCCTCATCAAAGAGGATCTTTTGATAGATCAGCCTAGAATGGTGCTTCTGCAAGTCTCATGAGAGATGCCCCAGGCCTCTGTTTTATATTTAAGCTAGTTATAAGTTGATGCCAAATGTGAATCCTCTATAGCATAAAAAGATCCCAAGAGATACAGAGTCCAGATAAGATGCAAAAGACGCTTGATAAAAGCAGAGCAGCTAATCTTGTGTGCTCTCCTTATGGGAGGCCTGCCTGCCTGCGGGGATTAGTAATGAGGGGCAGAAACCCATCCTCAGGGTAGGCTGGTCTCAACAAAGCCCAGGGACCTGCCCTCCAAAAGGCTGTTCAGTGACCTGTGACACTGGCTGGGTCTCCAGCGTACAAGTATTGAAGGACAGTTTTATTAGCTGTCTCATAATAGAAGCCATAAATCCTCAGCCTCCCCCACTTTGGGGTGCTGGCACTGTTGCTATCTGCTGGTTGCTTTGAATTGCGGTTTCTAGGATGATCAAACCACTCCTTCCAATGATCCCGAGCTGCTGAAAATCTGGGGGTTTGGGGGAGTTATTTGTGCACAGCTGTCCCCAGTATAGCCCAGCTTGCACCGAGTTTGTTGTAGCCAAGTCAGACAATAGCCACCAAAAGGCAACATACCAGTACCAGAAACAGATGACTTACCCTGATCAAAGGCTCCTATTCCCTCCCACTGTCATGGGAGGCTGTTTACTGATGCTTTTTTACAAATAAGATGTTTTATTCTTTATTGTTCAACAAGGCTATACCAGATAGCTTCCTTCAGACCCTGCACTTCAAAAACAGGAAATGAAGGAGATCAGCAATGAGCTTTACATCAGACTCCTCCGCTCCATTAATAATCAAAGTCTCTTCCCTCCTCTCCTGGAGCTTCGCAGAAATGAATAGCAAGGGGGAGCTCCCCAGCCATTGCTGCTGCACATTAAATCTACAGTAATTTCCCAATGGAAACATCACTTAGACAGTAATGGGAAGTAATAGGAGGGATCCAAGCAAGGGTTCCTTAAAATCACTGGAAGCAATCAGGATAATTCATTGATATTTCGAGAAGCCAGGCAAAACTTATGCCTGGCCCAATGAATCCCAAGCAAGAGCAGTGAGCCAAACAGAAGAGAAGGGTCCAGAAAGCAGTGCAGCCTCCCCACCTCATTTGACATGGCCATTTGTCCTGGCACCTTCCCTGCTGTTGTGGGTTTTGTCCTGAGCTGAGGCTGGGAGCTGCCTGTTTGATGTTTCTGCTGCTGGGAGCCCTGCTCCGTCCTGCTCACCACATGTGCCTTTTCCATAGGGCTACGCTGTTATGCCAAATTTCACCGGAACCGAAGAGTGACCCGAAGGAAAGGACGCTGCGTGGAGCCTGAGTCAGCCAACGGAGAGCAGGGATCATTCATTAATGTTTAGAAGGGTGGTGCTCTATTTCTTGCCTGGAGGGTCTGGAGCTGGGGACAAACCATGTATACCTAGCAGTGGAGATTAGAGAAAAAAATCAGCAAATGATTGAAGCTGCAGGCTCTGAACAAGCCAGGCTCCAACAAGACTGATGCTGGTGATGGTTTATGAGTAGAATGGTCTCAGCCTTTTCTATACCAGGACTCCCTCACCCACCTTTCCCTCAGGACATCCCTGTCATGGGGCTGGGTCCCCCTCTCCCAGTTAGTAGGAAATGAGCCTGATTGTCACTCTGATGCCCTGAGAAATGGGAAGGGTCCTTTGGTTGCCAGGCTTCCTCTCAACACAAGCAAGATACAAAAGATCTTCAGGTATCTTCAGGTATCTTCAGGCAGATGAGCTTGAGCTTGGCCCTTTAACTATTGCTTGAGAAGAGTAGTAGAGTATTAAGGATCAGAGGTTCTTAGAAAGTAGGAAGCTTGTAGCCTCCAGATACAAATAAAGGTAGGAGATGAATATGGATCAGCAGGAAGCTGGATGTCCAGGTGAGAGAGGACCCTCTTGCCCTCTCCCTTTTCCAGACAGATGTTCCCCAACTCTTACACACTACTGCTTCCTCCTTGGCACTGTCAATTCCCACTCCTTCCTTCCTTTTTTGTTCCCAGAGAAATACCTGGTTTCTGCAAGGATATAGCAAGACATCCCAGCCTACAGCTCTCACTCATTTGGTTATCCTACCAAGTCTGTTGTTTTTAATTATTATTTTTAGGAGCTTTCTGGGGAAGTAATAGTTTTCCTAGCAAGCCAAAAATAAAGTTTTGGTAACAGGAGATAGGGACCGACTATTCCCTTGTAGTACATCCTGTGACATGTTGCATGTGTGTTTCCATGATATGTAAATAAAGTTATGATAGATATCCTTTGTGCAACTCTTCTGCTGCTTTGACTGCACCTAACCATGGAGCAGGAACCAGAAAAGCCTACAGGAGAGCTGGCCAGAAAGAAGCACTGACTGCTGCAGATAATAGCACACAGAGATCGTGCCACTTTGTATAAAGATTCCTCTGCCCAAATTGGGTATCCACATGTGCCAGTATCCCCCACCTCACCTACTATTCAGTTTCTGCCTGATACCATGCAGATGTTTAAACTGTCTTTAAATTACTACTTAGTTTTTTACCTCAGTGTCATAGTGGGGTAACACAGGCTATCTGTATTAAACAGGAAAATCGTTAGTTGGTATGAATGTTCTTTTCTGTTGCTATCGCCCCAACATGCTGGTGAGTGAGTGAGAGAGCTCTAAAGAACCTGGAGATTTGCAGCACTTTTTGTAGGAATACAATTTTAATCAGGAGCCTTTAGACTTCAAAAAGGGACCTCTTGCTTTTTTTCTGCTTTAGAAGTGCTATTAATTCTTGAGGATAAAAAGCAGTTGATTCCTTAATTGGTGAGATTAGTTAAATGCTTGGGCTCAGTGAAAATGAGTTAATTACTATAAATGAACTCACAAGATTATTGGACTGATTTCTCACCATGGAGTTTCAGAGAGTCCATGATCATTTCCTCTGAACCAAACTGTGATGCTGCAGATATGGAGCAGAGAGGGTGAGCCATGACACATGCACATGTTGCACAGCCAAAGCAGTGTAGAAATAATTGCACAATCTGATTTATGGCTTTCCCAGATAATAGACTGACTTCAAAATTGCAGTGCAAACAAAAGCTGGGGAGTAAATTACACTCCAAGGTGTGGAATACAAGCCCAGTTTGTGATATAAAACCCCAGGGCAGTATTTGTACAAGGAAAGTTCAATCCACTTGTGAGCGTAGCAACGCTTTTCAGTGCTGCTTAGTGTTATATCTTAAGGGCATGACAACATCTGCAGAGTGATACTATCACTGGACTACATTTAGCAGCTTCCCTCTTCCTTTCAGAATGTCGCAGTTGCAGTGACAGACTGTTCTGCCTTTAGGGGCATTAGCTCCGAATGAGAGAGAGAGACCAATGCAATGTGAGTTCTGATTTATATGTTCATTGCAAACGACTGTTTGAGAAACATTCATGAAATGAAGCATTCACACAACCTCAGCTTCTCTGCTGCCCCCAGACAGTTTAATCCAGAGCTCTTGCAAGGTTTTCTATTGTCTTGAAAGCGCTTTGGATCAGGCCCAAACCAGCTATAGCAGAGCTCTGTGGAATAATTTTGGGAGTTAATTACAGGGCACAGATGCAAGTAAGGTGAGTGACAGAATCCCACCCAAACTGGTCTGGAGTCACTGCTGTAGCAGCCACACGATGAATCTGAGTTGCACACATCGTTCTGAGCCACTTCTCCAAGGGTGAGAGTCATTACACATGGAACAGAGAGGACAGCGTGCTGATCTGACATAATCATCTCAGCAGCTGCCTGCTCTGCAAATGCTGCTGAATCTCGGGGTTATTGCTGGCAATTGCCAAAATGACGAGTACAAGGAAGACAAGGAGGGGAAGCACAAATTAAAACACTTGGGAATCATTTTGTTTAAGGTTTGTAATAGTCTGCATTCATTTTAGCTTGGGGGGGTATCTTATTGAAACCTCTCTCTGCCAGCTAATTACCCTGTTGTCAATCCACAGTGTGGGAAAGTGCTTCAATTTCAGACCCATGCTATACTAAATTGTTCCACTACATGCCATTCAGAGTTTCTGCTACATAAAGCCTGGAGAAAACACTGCTCACATGTTTTTTTATTGAAACACATGTTTTTTTATTGAAAACAATAAGGGATGTTGTTTTCTTGCAATGTTTTCAGCCTGCACCCCTAAAAAACATTCACCTCTAAAATCCAATTCTGCTACCTCAATTCATTTTCTAGAGTGACAGAGAAACTTGAAAAGTAATCCCTCAATTGCAGCTCAAAGCTTTAGTTAGATTTTAGAAAATCTGAGGAGCAGCTCTTCCCTGGTGAGATCAGAAATGACTTTCATGTTTGTCAAGATTGCACCTTAGTGTAACCCTGCCACTCCCCAAATCATTTTGCCACTGTTTTGCAGTGGAGTTGCAGGAGAAGGCTCCCTGCCAGCATTACAAACCCCTTCGGTTTCCCCTCCAGCCCTAGTGATAATGTTTCTGCTTGCTGATTTCCCACTGAGATCGAAGAGAGAGTTTCCAGTGCCAGGATAACTTCTATACATCCTTCCTCACTGCTTATTCAGAAAGGTTCTATAGATAATATACAATTTCTGCAGGGCTGCTGCCTTCATTACTCTCTGCTCAAGAGACAAGGGGACAGCTCAGTGTCATCTGCAATCTTCAGCTACCTTCAGATTAGCCCCTTAGTGAGTAACAAGAAGGGCAGAACTATGAGGGGGGATCTTGTGTCCATCTCTGCAGGCCAGGGACTGCAGGGCAATGTTATCTGCTCCTCTGCTGCCCTACAGAACTGCTATAACCTTGCACATCAAGACTACAGGTTCCTGAGACATAAAGGAAAACACGGCTGCTGCCTTAGCCTCCTTTTATGCTGTCAGGAGGGGAGCCAGCTGTGTACAAGGTTTTTACCCACCTAGCAGAATATACTTCATAAACCATCTACATAATGGATGTTAAATTGTTTGTAGTGAGCTGAACACACCTGAACCGGTTTGCTGTTTAGGAAAATCTCCATATTGCCTTTCTAGTTTCCTGGGTCATCTGCTTCTCCCTGCAGGTCTTCATCTTTATCTCCATGCTTGTCTTTCACACCACATGTGCACGACACACCATGTTGCTTTGAATTATCAAGCCTAGGGCAGGAAACAGAGGCAGCAGGTTACAGAGAGGCAATTTACAAGGTACAAGAAAAGCAAAGTGGAGAAAAAAAAACACAATAAACCCACCCCACAGATCAGATAGGTGTGAGACGTGCAAATGCATTATGTCTGTCATAGTTCTTATTGTTTTCATATCCATGAGATCATTAAGATGCTTCTGAGTCCCTTGAGTCCATGACATGCAAGCCCAGGCTATGATAAGCAGAGCTGAATTAATTGTGCAATACATTGATGAACAAAATGAAGTGCTTTTATTGTAAAAGGAGAAACGAATGCTTTGCATTAAAGAGCAGTCACATCAATCCAAATTATGGCTCGTGCTCTATAAATGATAATGAGACTCTGTCTTGCTCAGGCTGAGTGAAAATGTTGAAAGGAGCAAAGACGCCCACTTAGCGCTGCAATCTAAGCAGTGCTCCTACATAAACTGGGCCACAGCACGACAGTGAGATTTGTCTTTATAACAACATTATTCCTTTGCTAGGCACCTATTTTAGCAGAAGGACAGCCCTATTGCTGTTTCCACTCAAACACTGAGGCAACAATAAGGCTATTTAAAGTCTCTGCTTATCCTTTCTTTTTTTTTTTTTAAGGTGTTACAATTTCTTTGCTGCTGTTTAGCTACTATGCAGCTAATTGTTTTTCTTCTGGCACTTCTGGTTACCATTTTCTAAGTTGTTTCTTTTCTGCCTTTAATACCATACCATGTGGGAGAGCTCGGTGTGTTGTGTATAAGCCGTGTGAGTCAACAAGACTCGGGATGCAGTGCAGGACCTGGCTAGGGCTACATTTGCGGCTTGCTTGAGTATCTGAGATAGCCCTGAAGTGAGGTTGCTTGGGCAGTTAGGAGAAACTGGACATTTTTAATTCCTATGGACGCCGTGGCATAGTTCAAACGTGATTTATGTCCAGCATTTCATCACTCATGCATAACTTTGACTGCATTGCTTGAACTAGAAATAGAAATGGGATTGAGCAAGGATCCAACATCTGCAATGAACTTGTGACTCTTTCCTCAGTGGCTTCATCTTTTCTGTAAGTCTGCCGGAATGACGACAAGAAAGCAGCTGACCCAGTAATACACTGCAGACAGGTGAAGTGTACACTGGCAAGGAAGGCTAAGTTCGAAAAGACATCAGACCAAATCATTGGTTTTTATTAGTTCCTTTTTCAAGCTTGGGGAGAAGGGTGTTCTGAACCGGGCAGGATTCTAAAACAGGAACAGTCTTCTTGCAGAACGAGCATGAGGATCGCCTGGTTTGTGCTGTGCAGCTCTTCCTTGTTTGAATGTGAAAGGACTTTGAAGCAGGTTTGTCAAGATCTCACCCTGGTATAATCCTCCCTACTCCCCAGATGCTCTCGCCATAGACTGTTCTGAGACGGAGGCCCTTGAGATAGCTCTGAGGTGAGGTGGGGCAGTTAGGAGACACTGGGCAGTTTTAACCCCAATAGTTACTGCAGCGTAAACCCAATGCGTATTTGTGCTTGGCTTGCAAGTGAGGGCAAATGGCTCAGCTTTAGGAGCAACATCAGCCACAGACAACACGCAAGATGCGACATGGAAACACCAGTGCCGTCCTCCGGTGCCCTGCAGGGCCCAGCCCGCCTCTCACACCGCATCTTTACTTCAAAACCCCAAACTTTTGGCACCACCACAGG